CCTAAAGCATGATTAAAAAAAGGAAAAAAAATGGTGGAAAGAGATATACCACATGAAAATGAATTAAAAGAAAGTATCTGTGTCTGACAAAGTGGACTTTAAGGCAATAAGCATTGCTAAAGATAAAGAGGTGTCTCCTTAAAGATAAAAGCTTCAGTTCATCAGGGAGATACAATTCTAAATTGGACTTGGGCACAAATTTGAGCTTTCTCACTTATTAGTGTAAGACACACAGCTAATTTCTAAATCTTCTAAACCTCAGATTTCTCATGCATAAAGTGAGGATTATCATAGGGCTCACTAATAACATAGCTTCAAAAATATATAATGCCAAAATTGAGATCAAAATAATAAATATATATTACATGGAATATCTGAATGTACTTCATATTATTAACAGATTAAGATGAGAAAAAAAGAGAGCAGTACAGATAGCAAGCATTTAATCAACAGGATCAATATATCTGTCCTCATGGATATATACAAAATGCCAAACCTAACAACTGCAGAAATCATGCCAAACATTTAGGTACAGACATTGTGGGAAAATGTGATAGTGAAATGAGCAGACTGGCAATCAGAAGATGTTAATAAGAGCCCTAATAATGGGGCTGGCAAATATGTCTTTACTGATTTCCAAAAGCTTCTTACAGTAAACATGAAATCACATAATTTCTTCCACTTCCCTACTGTTTCTTGTTCTGGGCTGTGTCCTGCTTACTGTCCAGTACCTTGGCCCCTTAAAAGTTGCTAATCTTCCGAACCTCATTCCTGTGACTGGGCCCCTGGTCCTTGTTCATGGGCCTTGCAGATACTGACTGTATGCTTATCTGGAGCATGCAGTGGCTACTACCTGACCCAGATTTCTCGTTGTGCTCCTCCCACCTAATGGGATTTGCTCATACCTGTATGGGACCCCTCCCATCTTCCCCAACTGAATACTTACCAAGACAATCCATTGCCCTACTCCTTTGGACTCTGCTCTGGGCATCAGTCTGAATGTTTCTATTGGGCATCTGCAGCTGGATCAGTTCCCTGAGCACTGTCCAGCCTCTTCAGCATGGCTAGCCCTAGAACAGAGAATTAGCCTTTCTGTCTCTGCTGCTCTACATGCCTGGACAAATCATAAGAAATGACAGCACCTTATGGTAATGCAGGCTGCAGGAGGCAGGAATCAAATTTTTGCTTATTATATAGTGCTCCAATTATTTGAATATTGGACTATAGAATATGTCACGAATCTATACTCAGGTGGGTTCCGTATTACTCAGTCCACTGAGGCCAGATCATGGGCTTAGCTGTCTAAGAGAGAGTTTTAGTCTGCAGAGCATAGGGTCATTCCGAGAATTACTAGCCCACACTTGTGTGGAGACCTTCAGAGAACAGGATCTGAGTTGGTGCAAGGTACTTCCAGGAGAAGAGCAGTGGCAGGAGGTGACACACCTGTCCTCAAGATGCCCAGCCCCACAGTCAGAGGGGAAGGGGCAGAGCCACATGCATGAACATCCTCTCCCCAGTATGTGCCAATGACAGGGTTTTCTATCTTTTGGGCCAAGGAAGGAATGTGAAACAAAAAGCACAATTTTCTCCTCCCTTTGCATGAAGACTGAGCAGTTTTACCAGATTCCCAGGGAAACACCCTTCCACTCTGGGTTGAATGTGAGTGAGAGACATTCCAGGGTAGAACGCTAGAAAAATTATTTTCAGAACCATTTGTCATTAGCCCTAGCAAGTGTTGGGTTTGTCCTTCTTCCTTGTCACAGTAGATACTGCTGAGAGCATCAGAACTTGGGCTCTGGAAGTAGACAGACTTGGTTACAAATCTGAGCTCTCTCCCTTATTAGTGTGGGACATAGAGCAACTTTAAAAATCCTTCCAAACCTCATACTTTTCATGCATGATGTGAGGATTGGAATAATGCTCACCTAATAGGGGTTCTTGAGAATTAAAAAAAATTAACAATGAACAGCATTCAGCAAGATACCTGAGTATTGAGAAAATAAAAAATTGTTATTGATGTTGTTATTATTAAACGTCATTTCTGCACCTTCTGACTGGGGGCATCATGCCATCAGAAATACCTAGGATGGGATGGATTCCTGCATGGACTGGGCCAAGTGTGCGATAATGGAGGAGTGAAGAAGGAAGAAATGGAGGCAGAAAGCCCCCAGGAGTCCAGTATGGTACAAGGCTGAGCTAATGCTGCAGGGGCTTCTTGGGAAAGCCACAGGGCTTGCACCTGGCCCTGGAGGAACCTCTTCCAGCAGGCGGGACCAGCTATAAGAGTAGCCAGGAGATGTCCCAGAGTGTGGGCTCCTAGGAGTTCATTTGGAGCAGGCCTGCGTAGAGAGGGATCATAACAGGGACCCTTCACTACTGGCAGGTGATTTACCCTTCAGTCAGAGCTCAGGCATTTGTTTGATGGAAGGTGGAAGGCCCTGTGCTGAGCCAGTGACTGTCAGGGATGGGTGGATGGCTGGAAAATAGGAAATATGACAATATGATAGCACAGTAACCACCACACTGTGTGGAACATTCTCTTGAGAGTTTTCCCTCTGTTAATACTCACTTCTTATGGCCCAAATAATCGTAACAATAAAAAATTGGTGTAAATTCTTGAAATAACTTGTGGATGATGGAACAAGACACCCCTCCCCCCACCACCAACTCAGAGCTGCCGGAAGCTTCAGGTGAGGGTCCAAAATGCCAAAATGTCTTGTATCAGAGAGGATGGCCAGTGACCTGAGGACACATCCCATATTTGCTGTGTCACCCAAGGAGCAGCAGCCTCGCCCTGCACAGTCAGCAGGACCCTGGCTTCCCACACTGGGTAGGAGCTGGGTGTCTGATAAAGAGAATGCTTGGCAGCCTGTGCTGTCTGTCTCCTCATATCAGCTTATCTGGCATTGCTGTCAAGTGGCCACTTGAATTTCTTTAAAGGTGGAATCTCAGTGGGGTCTAATCTGTTCAGAAATGTCAAGAGTATGTTAAGCACAGAATTTATACATACATATATATCAAACACACACACACACATATTTATATATGTTATGTGTGTTGTATGTGTATTGGGCAGGGAGAAAGGCCTTTGGTTCCTTTGTATCTGCACAGCACAAGGCAGGGCACAGAGTAACTACGATTTACAGTTGATTTATTTACATGAAAGATATTCCCGTTTGCACTTTAGGCCATATATATGTGTATGTGTATACATATAAAACTTACATATAATAGTGTAAAAGTGGAAATAACTCAAATGTTTAAAATTGAGGATTAAGCTATGACCTGTCCATGTGTGACATACAAGTTAGCTGTCCCTTGTTCTCTTGAGCTTCAACCTCCTACAAACAGTGTCCCTTGTATACCAGTATTGGTACAGATAATTAAACTTATTGAGGTTTTATATGGGGCAATAAAGGCGAGAGCTTACTGTAAATATCCTATACTACGCTACGTAGCACCCACTTTTACAGACAAACTCTTCTCTCTCATTTCCCTTCCTTTCCGGAACCACTCGGTGCGATCTCTACAAGTCTATATTGCAACTACCTCAACATGGCACACTCCCGGCCAACTCCATCTTCCCTGTCCTGAGAGCAATGGTCAGCTGCCCCGACATTTACATCCTCATTCATTCCAGAAGTCAGCACCACAGAAGTGCCCACACTTACCCCAACCACCTTCTTAGAAGATAAGTTAGTGGTTGCTTTGACTTTTTAAAATTTTACTTTGTCTTTTCTTTCACAATCTCATCCCATCCCAGGAAGTTTATCCAGAAGTTCTCTAAAGATATGTGTGTCTTTATTAGGAATTCAACAGACAAATCAGGAATTTTTATTCTAGCCATCAAGGGAATAACATTTTGCCAGGTCTTTAGACTAATAATGGAATAACTTGCAGTAATTACATATACTATTGTGGAAAAGTATTGATGAAATGGAATGATGTTTGAGATATCATATTGAGTAGAAAAGGCAAGATGTATTAAGTAGGAAATGTATCTTACAAAATAATTTGTCAGACACATTCCTATATTTGTATGTTATAAATGTGTACGTGAAGAAAGGCTAGAAGATGAGACCACAGTCTTCAGTCAAGTTTAAGAGATGCGGCTGCAGCGTGCTCAGAAAGGCCTGGGTTATAGTGTTATAGTTCTCCCAGCAATTAAGGATGCGATCTTGGGTAAATTGTGCATCCTCTCTAAACTGCACTGCCTTTTGTCTGTAAAACAGGAAGGATGGTATTTACTCCCAGGGTCATCAAAGGATTTGGTTAGAGAAAAAGAAAAATGGGCTGAGCCCATATCTGGCACAGTGAGAGCACCGTGGTTAACTATTGTGCTGGACTATTGTTTCTGTGTTATTGATGAGCTGCTGGTGGTGGTCCAGAAGCTATCAGCTTAATCGGTTATGTGGATTTTCCTTCATGCTGACTAGCTGTGTGTGACATTGTAAAACATAGCCATAAACCGTAACTGGCAAAGACAAATGCAATGGAAAAATGCAAGGAAGTGCAGGTAAATAGCTAATGGGCTGCAGAGGGAAGCTAGTCCTTGGAGGGCTTGATCAAAGAAGGTCCCTTTGCATGTCACTTGTGAAGAGGGGACAGAGAAGAGGTATAGGGAAGTGTTAGTACATCGCAGAGTGTACCTGAAAGGAGACATGAAAGGAGGACATTTTTCTCTGGAACATGGGGACTCCACTTGCATAAACTCTGGGATGAGGGCAAAGAACTATCATGAACCTCCCATGTTCATTGACTGACTAAGCTCTGTGCTTCTTCTTTCCTTCACTCTTGTCTTTTTTCTATACCTCTGTTATTAGACTGGACTGGCAACCACCTGATCTATCCCAAGTGCCTTGAAATGTGTTGAATGGGTGTGGCAAGCCCTTAGCAGAGTGGTACTACCCCACAGGAATTTGTTTATACCCTTGGCATGGAAAATAGCAGGAAATGAATGATGACTGATAACTGAGGATGCTATTTATTATTGTCTAAAGGAATACTGTATTGTATTTACAAGCCACTCCCAATTTGTTGATTCTGAATGAGTACCAGACCTCCCTTTAGATAAGGGATCCTGAGAACTGAAGGCAAGTGGAGTTCCAGGAGTCCAAGACAGAGCCACCGACCACGAGGATCCTGGCCCAGGTAGGTGATCCTCCTATGCTGGCTTTCAAAGCCGAAAGGTATGGATGGGGAAGTAGAGTAGCGTCTGGCCATCTAGCCCCCTTGCTTTTTATCCCCACTGGAAGCACATCTGAATTTCTAAATATGATCTCTAAGACATACCCGGAATACCTTGTTCTCAGCCCCAGTAGCAGCCTGCTCTCTCCCAGGAGGGCTTCCACCAACAAGCAGGGCAGTGCCAGGGGACCAGGCAGACACTAGCTTAGGAAACCTGCAAATCTTGGAAAGGCTTGTCCCTTCTCTGAAGGCTCAGTAGACTGACTTCAGAATCTAGAAACTATTGGTCCTTGGAAACAGATTTTGGGTGCAAAAAAATGGATTTCAGATGGCCAGATGCACTGCTTCTTTAGGGAGTTCTGTGAAAGCTCCCTGCATTTATCTTAATACAGTTGGCAGATTTCATGAGTACCCCCCAGGGATGGCTCCTTGTCCTCCAGCCTGTGAGCATCCTTCTGTTTTTCAGCAGCGCCACAGTATCTTTATGTCTTTGGATATCTAAATTTCTACAAGACATGTCTTGCTCTGATGTCCTGGCTGCCAAATTCTCTGTCAAGTGTCTCCAATTTTCTGTGTCCTTTGATTTACCCCAACATGACAGAGGCAGTTACGCTCCATGTATTCAGGGTTACTGCCAAATCACAAACAGGTTAAGACCAAATAGTAGATATCCCTGTCCTCAACGACCCATCAGCTCTACCCACCTACTCATGCTCACTGTTCTTACTGTTGAGTCCTGAAGCCCTTCCTTGTCATTTTTTCTTTTTTGAGACAGTCTCACTCTGTCGCCAGGTGCCAGGCTGGAGTGCAGTGGCACAATCTTGGCTCACTGCAACCTCCGCCTCCCGAGTTCAAGCAATTCTCCTGCCTCAGCCTCCCGAGTAGATGGGACTACAGGCACACTCCACCACGTCCAGCTAATTTTTGTATTTTCAGTAGATATGGGGTTTCACCATATTGGCCAGGATGGTCTTGATCTCTTGACCTTGTGATCTGCCTGCCTTGGCCTCCCAAAGTGCTGGTATTACAGGCTTGAGCCACCGCGCCTGACCCTCCTTGTCATTTTTATTTTTTTGCACGAACAATTTAGCTCCCTTTGTCTCACTCCTAAACCATTCTCAAAGGATTGGGTTTCGACACAAACTGCCTATCTCTGTCTCTGCAATCTTAAAAGTGATGTGATTTTGAACAAGTCACTTAACTTCAGATTTTTTATCTGTAAGATAGGAACACCAGTTTTTGCTCCATTTCTGTCCTATGTTGGCCTGGAGTAATCTTGTGAAAACATCCTTGTCAACTGAGATAGGGTGTGCAAAATTTGTATTTATGAATATATCTCCACCAACTCCTCCCAATGGAGCAATCTGATCCTAAGATATTAGAGATTGAGCCTCCTGGGACTTTTGGTGGTTTAGGTTTTCATGAAAAGAGGTTGCAGAGCAACTGCTTTTTGTTAGACCAAGATTAGGCTACTGCAGAGACTCAGCAAACTTTTACAGAAGGTGTCAGATGGCAAGTATTTTAGGCTTCGCTGGCCAGATGATCTCTCAACTACTCAACCGTGCTATTGTAGTCTCAAAGCAGCCGGAAACAATGTGCAAACAGGGGCATGGCTGTGTTCCGATAAAACTTCATTAAAAAAAAAACAAGCAGGGACAAGATTTGGCCAAGGGCCATAGTATGCCAGCCCCAAGACTAGAACAATGCACTTTTAACTTTTTAAATTCGATTTCATTTTTATAAAATGCCAAGATCCACAAAATTGTGATTGTACCCCATGTGTTAGCACTGTGACTCAAACAGTTTGGAAAATTTCTGTTTTGAAGGTGTGATAGACAGGGGAGCATGGTCTGGCCCCTTGGCGCCTTTCTGGTTGCAGCGAGCATTTCTAACTAGAGAGCAAGGCCAGTGGCCTTTTCAGCACTAGGGATATCCTGCAAGGTGTCCTGGGGTCAGAAGATGCCATAACTGGTCCCCTGTCTGTCTCCTTAGGTCTTGTACTTCATTCCATTTTCTGTTGAGTAATAACTAATGTTGAAAATGTCCTTTGTGGAGGAGAACTCAGGAGTGAAAATGGGCTCTGAAGACTTGGAAAGAGATGAACCCCAGTGCTGCTCAGAAGGTAAGGTTCTTGTGGAAATCTATCTCAGGGCCGAAGTGTAATTCCTAAAGTGGACTTCACTAGATGCTGTGTACAGACCCAGCTGTTTCCTGCTGACCTTGCACAGTAAGTGAGCTTTCAAACTTCCCTGGACAAATAACTAGACAAGAGAAATTCTGGAAGGAAAAAGAAGACTTTGCTGCAGTGTTCAGGCGCATCAGGTGGTAGATAAAAGGATCATTCTCACCTACAGATTTGGGCTTTAACATCCTGTTTGCCGACTAGATGGTTGCATATCCTTCCTCTTCCCTCCCAACTTTAACAGGTGGAAGAGAAGCCTTCGATGAGAAGCGACTCTCTAAAGCTGGGTTGGAAAAATGACCCAGGCACGGGGCATCTGAGTATTCCATGAGGAATGCATTTGGGTGTTGCCCATGGAGGACAATAGGAGGAGGCTTTTGACCCAAATAACTGTCTACCAGGGTGTGAAGGGAGAGGCCTGTAACATGCCAGAAGCCAACCCCCCAAGCCAGTTCATCTCCATCGTTCTATGTTTTTGACGAGGAAAGCTATGATTTAATGTCATTACTATCATGCTGCTCTAGTATTTCTCAGCAAGTACACAGAAGAGAAAATTAAATGGTCCCTCATACCCCTAAATCCTTGGAAAATCCAAATTGCTTATGCTAATCTCACTGCATCTGACTGCAGACCCAGCTGGAAGCCCCCTGGAGCCAGACCCAAGTCTCCCCTCCACGAGTTTTGTTCACTCAAGTAAGGCCGCAGGAGGTGATGGGGATGGCTGGGGTGCGAGGATGGGGATGGGGAGTGGTGCCACTTAGGAGGCAGGACAATTGTAGACTGGGGATACCTAAGGGTGCTGGATGGGGCTGAGATCTTCCCTTTGCAGAAGCGAATCCCATCAGGAGAGACTCTGGGAAAGATGTGTCTAGGGAGGGATAAGTGATGCTCACCTTCCAAGAGGCACAGGGCAAGGAAGAGTTTGTGCCTGGGAACCTTCCAGGTACCTCTTCTGACCATAGTCAAGAGGCTGGTGACACAGACCTCCTCCCAGCACTGATGACAAACAGCCATATGGCCAGTGGGGGTGCAGGGACACCCACACCACCAAGGGCTCAGGGCAACGTCTTCAGAGCCTGAATCTTCCTCTCATGCTGCCATACAAACACCACAACATCCCAACAAGAAATTGTTAATATCACCACTGTTTACATGTGGAAACCGAGACAGACAGTGGAGATTCCCTGCACCAGGTGACACTGGTAGTAAGTGACAGATGTGGAAATTTAAAGATACTATAACGTCTGTCTACCCAACTCAGGCTTAAGGCTCCCATCGCCTCCTTTTCTCAGGTCAGAGTCAGGAGACCTCAGTCTGAGCCCCAGATAGTGCAGGCTAATGTGTGAATACTGAGCCTCACTTTGTCAGTAAAATGACAAAGAGGACCAAATGGGACCAGGTGTGTAAGGGTACCTAGTACAGTAGGGGAAGGCTGCTGTCACTGCCTCCACCACTGCTGCCAGAGTTACCTTTGATGTTTTGGTTGTTTGTAGTTACACCATTGCTGGCTTTGGATCTGTACTTTGTCCACTCCAGGTGCAACTTGGAGGTTCCAGGCACACAAGCCTGTCTGTTGGGCCTGTCCTGACTTCTTGTCAGGGCTGGGATCTCCTTCGAATCTGGGGGGAGTGGCTCTCAAAGTCTGGTCCTCAAACTGTCAGCAGCATCAGCTCCTAGAACAGTGTTAGGAATGCAGATTCCCAGGCCCCACCACAGACCTCCTGCATCAGAAACTCAGGGCCTGAGGCTTTAGGGGCTGCTTTTACAAGCCTTCCAGGTTATTGTGGTACACCTTAAAAATTTGAGAGCTACTGCCCTACAGAAAATTATTATTGCCTTAAAACCGGCACTAGCACTGATGTTACTGCTGCTGTGGGAGTACCACTTCCCTATGGAAACAACTGCCAGTACCTTAAAACCACTCACACCTTCAGAGTGGCCTTGAGGAAGATTTGGGGTCAAGAATGATGAGCAAGAACACCACTTAAGAGGATAGTAAACTAGTCTGCATGCAAGACGCAGAGAGCCTCTGTCAGGCTGTGATAGGAGCGAAACAGAAGTTAAAAAACAAGTTTAAGAAACACTTAAGAGGTACAAAGTAAAATGATGATGCTAGAAAAGCAGCTTCTTAAAAGTAGCATTTTCCAGTCTCACTCTGGACTAACTGAATGAAAATCTCAGGGGTTCAAGGCCTTAAAATGCCACCATGGTCTTAAAATGCCACCCACCAGGTGATTCCCAGTGTGCACCAGGGTTGAGAGCCACCGCCCTAGGCCATGTCACTCAGAAATCCTCAGACCAGCAGTACCCATAGCTCTGGTAGTGCATCAGAAAGGCAGAGCCTTGACACCACCCAGACCTACTGAACCAGAGTTTGCAGGTGATTTCTTGCACATTAAAGTGTGGAAAATGGAAAGGCTTAGAGTTCAGCTAGCTCAGTAACTTTCAGTCGACCTGCATCTGCCCCATGAACTCAGAATGTCTGAGTGGGGCCCAGAAAAGCTCCTGAAGAGATTCTGATGTAATACAGGGCTGAGACCCTTGGACCTCATCTGACCCCATATCACTGGGGAGTTACTTAGGATCTCGCCTGGAGCCAGTCATCTCTTCCATAGGCACCGAATGTCCACGATGCTTGGGGCACTACAGCGTGGGAGGTGGAGGATCGCAGGTGAGTCAGACAGGGAGCCTGCTCCTGGGGAGCTCACAGTGCTATGGGGAGGCAAGACAAAGACACCAATACCTGTGTGCAAGTACCACTGATGAGTGCAAAGTGCTGCAGCAACAGGAGGAAGCTACCCTGTGCAGAGGGGGCAGAGGAGGGCTGCAGGGAGGAGGTGGCTGGAGAGCCGGTGTTACAGGAGGAGTCCTCTCCACTGTCTGGGCATGAGGAGATGAGGAGGACATTCCACAGTGAGAAACCCAGGGAGCGGCTGTGTACTTATGGCATGGGAAGAGAGTAACATCTTAGAATTATTCTCTGCATTAGAATTGCCGATCACAGATACCCATATTATAGCTTCACATAGTGTGCTGGTTACTGTGTTATCATGTTGTGACATCTGCCATTTTCCAGCCAACCACCCATTCCTGACAGTCACTGTCCCAGCCTGGGGTCCCTTGTCCTTTATCAAACAAGTGCTTGAGCTCCTTTCTGAGGTGGGGTCACCTGTCCAATCAGAGGCCAGGAGGAAAGGTTCCCTTTTAAGACCCCACTCTAGGCAGGTCTGGCCTGAATGAGTTGCTAGAAGCCCACACCCTAAGACCCTCTGAGCACTGTTGTGGCTAGTCCTGCCACTAGAAGATGTTCCTCCAGGGCCAGGTGCAAGATTTGTGGCTTTTCAAAGGAGCCGCTAATGCTCCAGCTAAGCCTTGCACCGATCTGGGCTCCTGGGGGCTTCCTGCCTCCACCCCTCCCAACTCTTCCATCACTACTCCCTTAGCCTGGCCAGTGTGGGCGTCTGTCCTACTCTAGGCTCTGATGGAATAATGCTCCCAGTCAGAGGGTGCATAAAAGCGAGTTAAGATAAACAATGATTATAAAAAGTCCTTTTTATAGGTCTTAGGTCAGGCTAAGTCCCACTTACTTGAGTGAGCATTTTCGTTCTCATAACTCCTCTCTCAAGTAGGTGCTGTTCTTACTCTTATTTCACAGATGAGGACATTGGCATTGGGAAAGATTTAGTAACTTGTCCTCTGTCCTACAGCAGAGCTTGGATTTTGATCCATCTGTCCAAATCTGGAACCCATGTGCTTGCACAGAATGCTAAATTGCTCATCCCAGTAAGACAGCAAGCCCGGGAGTGGAAGAAATATTCAGTGGCTGTGATGCCTGAGCCCACAGGCAGGGTGGAGAGCTGGGGCTGGGGCTGAGGCTGGGGCTGGGGCTGGGGCCCTCGGATGTGGGGAAGAAAGGGCTGAGTCTTCCGTTTTCAGTGTGAAGTGTTGATGTCTGGTTATGTTGATCTAGGTCCAAAGTTGAAGAACTTAAACCCAAAGAAATTCAGCATTCATGACCAGGATCACAAAGTACTGGTCCTGGACTCTGGGAATCTCATAGCAGTTCCAGATAAAAGCTACATACGCCCAGGTGATTCTCAGTTTTGGCTGTGTTTTCTGTCCCCACCCAGCAGGGGTAAGGCCTCCCTCCAGGTGGGCTCAGCTGATGCTAGACCATGCCCCAACTCCAGCAGGTGGTGGAAGCGGGGAGGAGAAGCCCCAGAGACTTGGGCAACAGATGGAAGGTCTCTAGCAATAACCAGATCTGAAAGGACTCTTTCTGGAAGGGCGGGGAAAAAAGAAGGAACCAGACACTTAGGTTGGAACAAGAGGAGGCTTAAACCAGTGTGACGGAGGGAGATGGGGACCACAGAGTCAAGGGGAGAAGGACTGCATGTCAGGCCTGAAACCCAGCAGACAGAAGGGACCTTTCCTTCCTTTGAGAACCCACCCATGTTCTGACTGTCTTTTTCCAGAAATCTTCTTTATATTACCCACATCCTTGAGCTCAGCTTCTGCAGAGAAAGGAAGTCCTATTCTCCTGGGGGTCTCTAAAGGGGAGTTTTGTCTCTACTGTAACAAGGATAAAGGACAAAGTCGTCCGTCCCTTCAGCTGAAGGTGAGAGCTCTAGCTCAATGTCCTGTGCCTTTTGCTACCCCAAAGTAAAAGGTCAAGATCCTCAATGCCTCTCACTTTCCTGCAAATTCTTATCTTGGCCAATGTAACAGAGACATCCACCTTTCTGGAAGCACCAGGCAGAAGAGTCCCATACCTTCTTCTCTGGTTCCTTGCCTCTTCTGGGGAAGGAGGAGGGACTCCACATAGCAGGGAGACAATGAGGAACTGAGGACTGTTTCTCCTTTCCCAGGCTCATGTGCCCTGGCCCTGGGTGGGCGGCGCTCCCCTCCTGCTGTGTCCTTCCCTGTGGTAGGCAGCACACTTGGGCCAGGACCCTGGTGTCTGCTGCAGGGTAGGAGGGTGTGAGAGAGCACTCGGAGGGCAGTGTGTCTGCTCTGCAAATTTAGACCTGGATGGAGCATCCTTTCATTGGGGGGAGAAATCTTATGAAGCCCAGGTGGATGCAGATCTAAGTCATACTCTAACTTAACTTTAAAAACTATAGAGCTTTTGGGAGGCCGAGGCGGGTGGATCACGAGATCGAGACCATCCTGTTCAACATGGTGAAACCCCGTCTCTACTAAAAATACAAAAAATTAGCTGGGCGTGGTGGCGCGTGCCTGTAATCCCAGCTACTCAGGAGGCTGAGGCAGGAGAATTGACTGAACCCAGGAGGCGGAGGTTGCGGTGAGCTGAGATCGCGCCATTGCACTCCAGCCTGGGTAGCAAGAGCGAAACTCGGTCTCAAAAAAAAAAAAAAAAAAAAAAAAAAAAAAACTATAGAGCTGAGATTTTGGTGTCCATCTGACTCTTACATCTCTCTCAATTTATTTTTAAATTGGGGGACAAGAGGGCATAGAAAAGAAGGCATGATTACTTATCACCCCTTAAATCCCAGTGCCAAGGCTGACATGCTGTCTTCCCCAAGGACCATCTGCCTTCTTTCTTTTCCTCCTCTCCTGTGTAAAGGCCTGGAGGATAAGCACATGTGCTGGGTTTTTCTCCCTCTCAAAGCCTGTCTATATAATTAATCTCTTTTATCTCACAGAAGAAGAAACTGATGAAGCTGGCTGATCAAAAGGAATCAGCACGCCGGCCCTTCATCTTTTACAGGACTCAGGTGGGCTCCCAGAACTTGCTGGAGTCAGTGGCTCACCCTGGATGGTTTGTCTGCACCTCCTGCAATTGTAATGAACCTGTTGGAGTGACAGAAAAACATGACCATAAGAAACACATTGAATTTTCATTTCATCCAGTTTGCAAACCTGAAATGATCCCCAGTGAGGTCAGCGATTAGGAAACTGCCCCATCGAATGCCTTCCTGGCTAATTGGCCTAATTATATAAAAACCGAAATCCTGCTCACTAACCTTTATGTCAGTGTGTTTCCTTTCTCATTCATACTTTAAGGATTTGTGTTTTTAGGAAATAGCAAGAAGATTGTTTAATTAGAAAGTTCTGGGTTGGAAAGAGCCCAGCTTCTGCTTGTATACTGCTACCCTGAACCATCAGACATCCATGTGCGTGTCGTATGCCATGATGTGGCCAGTCTGCGTGTTATACTTGCAAGAGGAAGGAGCATCTGGGTGCATGCTATTTTCTAGAATCAGTCCTTCGTACTGGGGTTTGGTAGATGCTGAGGGCATTGATCCTGGGGAAGAAGTGGCTGACTCCATGTTTAAGGCACTATGTGCAAGAAAGAAATGCAACAGCCACCATCCAGCTAAGTGATAACAGAAAAGGGGCAGTTGGGTCCCAAATAAGGAGCAGCGTGACCTGACCTGTGAAAAGGCACAAAGACAAGGAATCTGGGTCAGATGATAGGAGACCAGCCAGTCAGTGTCTTGGAGGGCTGTTAACAAGGAAACGGTCACATCACTAAGCAGGGCTCAGATCTTCATAATGGGGCATAGGAAGGCTGGCCAAATGGAAATCAGGGCCTGGAAGCAGAGTGAGGGGTGGAGATGGGACTGAGGCTTGGAAATTAGTTTGTTAGTTTTGGCTCTTCAGTTACAAGCAATAATAATCACTTCTAGCTTATTTAAGCAAAACGTATACTACAAAAGGAGCTTTCTAGAAGGGTATTGGGAATATTTATTTCTTACTGCTGCTGTAACAAATTACCACCAACTTAGTGGTTCAAGCAATGCAATGTCTTATCTTGCACTTATGGAGGTCAGTCTGGAATGTGTCTCACTGGGCTAATATCAAAGTATCAGCAGGATTGCATTGCTTTGGGAGCCTCTAGGGAAGAGTCAATTTCCTTGCCTTTTCCAGCTTCCAGAGGCCTCCTGCGTTCCTTGGCTAGTGGCCCCCTCCCATCTTCACTGCTTCGGTTTTTCTCACACTGCTTTACTCTGACTCTCCTGCCTTCCTCTTTCACATGTAAGAACGCTTGTGATTTGCATCAGGCCCACTTCAATATCCAGGATACTCTCCCATCTCAAAGAGGCTTAACTTTAATCGCAAAGTCCCTTTTGCTATGTAAGGTAACATATTCACAGGGTCTGGGATTAGAATGTGGACATTTTCGGGGTGCCATTATTCTGCCTATCGTGAAGTAACTTTCAGAATGGAAAGACATGCTGAAGAATAAGAGTCAGAGATTTCTGGCAGGCCAAAAATGACAGAACCCAGAAAACGCTGGTCCCACCACTCAGATGGGTAAGAGCCAATCATGCTTTTTGTCAGTTAGCAAAAGATTGAGATTCCAAGCAGAGCATGTGACTGCCCTAGTTTGGGTCATGTGTCAACTCCTTTGGCAGTAAAAGGCAGAGCACGTTGATGAACACTCCCTCCAAGACTGTATCCCATGAGGCCAGTGATGCTCCTCAAGCAGAGGTGGAGAGCTAATTCCAGGAGAAAGGTGTGTGGGTGGTGGGCAGGAAGGCAAAACTCAGCCATAAAGGAGGAGTAGGGACAGCGCCCCTGGCACACAGCCTCAAGTGAGATGACAAGCATGGGAAGAACTCTCACAAGGTTGGCTGCTTATGTTTCTGATCCTGATGATGATGGTGATTCACACCATCAGAGTGACGAAAAAGTACGTAGTATACTTAGAGGATGTTTCCAACATGGAGAAATGGTAAATATTTAAGGCAATGAATACTTCAAACACTATCTTTTTTTTTTTGAGACGGAGTTTCGCTTTTGTTACCCAGGCTGGAGTGCAATGGCGCGATTTCAGCTCACTGCAACCTCCGCCTCCTGGGTTCAGGCAATTCTCCTGCCTCAGCCTCCCGACTAGCTGGGATTACAGGCACGCGCCACCATGCCCAACTAATTTTCTGTATTTTTAGTAGAGATGGGGTTTCACCATGTTGACCAGGATGGTCTTGATCTCTTGACCCCGTGATCCACCCACCTCGGCCTCCCAAAGTGGTGGGATTACAGGCGTGAGCCACCGCGCCCGGCCCTCAAGCACTATCTTGATCGTTATACATTCTGTGCATGTAATAAATACTCAGATATATGCCACGAATATGTGAAATATTATGTATCACTATATAAAAGAAGAAAATGTGACCAGGTAACACTGACACTTTGGAGAAGAAGGCATGTCTTCTTTGTAATATCACAAAACTTTTCACGACAAAGACACACAGTTATTCAAATTAGTCTCTGAGTCAGGGCTGTCTCATGGCAGTGAGGACTCTGGTTCCCTTACAGACTAGCAGAAAGGAAATGGGGGCTTACTGACCATGGCCTTGAAGAGGCCGACCATGCAGGCCAAATGGAGACATGGCCAGCCTGGGCTCTGTCCTGCTCCATCCCCTTCCAACCTGGAAGTCAGGTTGGCGAGTCACTCCGGCGTGGGTCACTCATGCTTCCAGTGAGGCTCCACAAAGATAGCAAATGCACCAACACCTTACCGAAGCACAGGCCCTGTGTACTGTTGACTTCTTTGTCAGAAGGCTCAGCATGTCACAAAAGGCATGGCTGTGGTGATCGCATATGTGTGCTACCCCATTTAATGCTGCAACCTTCTCTCACCACAGCACTACTGACTCCCCTTTGCCAAGTCTGATTTTTCTTACTCTCTCATGCTATATAGTTTGTTTCTCACATTTATTGTTTGCGTCTCCCACTAGGATGTAAGTCCCACGAGTGCTTTGCTCTCTGATGTATCCCAAGAACCCACTGCAGTGCCTGGTACTTGTAGGAACTTCCTAAGATTTTTATAAATGAAGAAAAGAATAAAAGAGGGAGGGAGGGAGAAAGGAAAGGAAGGTTTCTATTTAAATGATTGTCTTCTCCTTATTTCTATAGTAATACGACTTCCCCCTGTAAAGCAGATGCATTTTGGAAAATGTGTATAAATAAACTCAGGTGGTTTGAATTTCATTTTCCTAATTGTAATTGTAATCATGGGTTTTTATGTTTAGTGAAAAAGTTTTGGCCCTTATGCATTACTCCTGAGAATCCCAAAGTATTGGTTTGTGAGGACTCCCATAAAGAACCATAAACTGGGTGGCTTAAAACCACGGGAATTTATTGTTTCCTGGTTCAGGAAGCTGAAGCCTGAACTCCAGGTGTTCATTCATTCTGAGAGCTCTGAGAGAGTATCTGTTGCAGGCCTCTCTTCAGTTTGTGCTGGCTTCAGGGGTTCCCTGGCTGGTGGCAGCTTCACGTGGTTGTCTTCTCTCTGTTTCTGTATGCAGATTTCCCCTTTCCTATAAGACAATAGTCAGACTGAATTAGGGCTCACTTGAATGACTTTATCTTAAGTTGATTGTATCTGTAAAGACTCTGTTTCCAAGTAAGGTCACATTCAGCTACTGTGGGGTAGGACTTCAACATATTTTTTCAGGCAATATAATTCAACTCATAATACCAAACTGTTCATCGTTATAACTGTTCATCTCATGAAATTTAAAGTCTCTCAAAAGGTGATCCCAGGGCATTTGATCTGCAGCAGAAACTCCCATCAGAAACATTCCAACCAGTGCTCCTTTCACAGCTGGGCACTCCTTCTACCCCATCCAAGGTCCTGGGGCAGGGCAAGGCAGGTGGGACAAGAGAAAGGCTGTCTTGGGAGTAGAAAGAGAAGACCCTTATTCACCCTGCACTCTGTTCGGGAATGAGCTGTCCAGCATAGACTATAATAAATAGCTTTAGGAGTGGTAGACTCTAAACATTTTTTGATCCCAGTTATCCTAATCAATTAAACAAAGTCTAGGACGTACCTTGAAATGTGGGCATTGGTACATTATGAAACTTACACAGAATTCAAAAATTTACAAGGGCTAAATAAAATAGGAACTGACATCTAATATTTTCTCCCTATATTCCCATGCACTATCTGGTTCAACCAACCCCAACCCTTACTCTCGTCCTGGTGGACACATGCCTAATGGTGTGAATGGCTGGTTCTTAGGGGGTGGTGAGGGTAGATATACAGCTTTTGCCAATTTCCATGGTGTAACTACTACAAATATGGCCAGTTTCAAGCTACCAATATGGCATGGACACAGAATTTGGAAGAGATGTTAACTGGCTATTGCAAGCTGATATAAGCTAGCTCCTGCACATCACCACCGCCACCTTTGACACCCTTATGTTAGTGCAGGGGATGGCGAACTGCAGCCTGAAGGCCAAATACAGTTTATTTCCTGTTTGTGTGATTTGCTAGCACAGCCCTGTTGTCTATGGCCTTCTTTGTGCTGTAACAATAAAGCATGTGGCAGGATATATAGAATCTGGCACTCTATGAAAAGTGCTTACTCCTGCTCTATAGGACAAGAGACCACAGATTGTCTTCAGCTTCCAAACATTCATCCCTGAGTCATTCTGGAGCCTGAAGCACAGTTTCCACCAGAGGGCTGCAATGCACGATAGTTAGGTTTTCCACCTCTCACTCAAAAGTCTACTCAATTTTTTACTGCAAAAATATGTTATGATCATTATTTTTTACTTAGCCCACCTTCCCTTGGCAATTTTCCATAGGAAAATCCATTCTAAATTCCAACAAATCAGGGGATTTGGAGCCTCTGGACACCTCCTTGTTCCTTGCCCATAGCCCCTTGCAGAAGTTGTTTCATCAGAGAGGCTCCATGCAGGGGCTCAGGACAGGATCAGAGGTCAGTTGCAGCAAGGGGGAAAGGAGAGATTCTCTCTGCTGACCATGCAGAGGAGACTGTTCAGCACACTCTCAGTCCTGGTGATTCCTAATCCATAAGAGAATTTTCACATGCATTGGGTAATTGTCACATCAGCTCAACACTATGAGGAAGGAAGGGTGAGAATTTGTGTCCCCATTTTATAGGTGAGAAAATAAGACTCAGAAGTATCAAGTAACTTGACCACAGTCATGCAGCTTTTAAGTGGCAGACTTGCAGGTGTTGGGACTCCTAGTCCAGAGTTCTTTGC